CCCCCACCCCACCCCACCCGCTATGCGACTCCCCTCACAGACAGCGCTGCGTAAGCTGCTAGACTCTACAGTTGCAGCAGGAGTGATTGTCCTCCTTACGGTGTATGTCCTGTTTGTGGACGATGTGGTGGTCTTGGCGGGAGCGCCTGACCCGAATCAGTCTCAGGCTGTCTACGCTCTGTTGGTTCTGAAGATTGTGGTCTTCTTTGCCTTTGTCGGCGAACTGGTGGCAGAGTGCTACGCTACGCCAGAGTATGTCTTCTCCTTCTTCTTTTGGTTGGATCTCGTCACTCTCCTGTCCTTTCTTCCAGACTTTTGCTTGCTCTTTGGCTACAATCTCCTCTCCGCCATCGGTGGTCTCGTCGTTGCTCGTGCTGGTCGTGCTGCTCGCATCGCTTCCCGTCTAGCACGCTTGCTCTCGCTGGTGCGGATGGAGAAAATCCTCAAGCTCCCGCCAAATGCTGCAGACTCGTTGGATGAGGTGGCTTCGTCGGCGACGGCCGGCGAGGCGCTGGCGCGCGTGAGGACCTCGCGGTTCCCGGGCTCGGATCTCAACCGGTCGACAACCAACAAGGTGACCGCCATTGTGCTCGTTCTTTCCTTGCCACTTCGCTGCTCCAGGCGGATCCGGCGTGGAACTCGTTTGCCACGTCTGCAGTCGCAATGCTCGATGCCTCGCTCGGTAACTCGACCGCGCCGCAGCGCGACTTTGCGCTCGATGCCTTTGTCACCTCTTACTCGTCGCCCAACGTCAACGTCATCGCCATTGAGGAGGACTCGCGCCTGCTACGCGGCTCACTCGAGCCGCTGGACCATACCCGCGCCTCTTTTGTGGCGTACGTGTACTCGGCAAACGGCCGACTGCGGGTCGTCTTTGACGTCTCGGCCCGCGAGAAAACCCAGGCCCTGTACAACCTCCTGCTCATGGTCCTCGTCATCACGCTGCTCTTTTTCGGCAACTATGTCATCTGCCGCGCCTCCAACAAGCTCATCGCGCTCTCGTCCGAGCTCCTCTACCTCATGAAGCTCCTGACCCGACAGGCGAGCCAGAGGACCGACGGCGGCAGTGTGCTGGTCGACGGCCGGACCGAGCGGCGGACGCTTGGCCCGGTCTCGGCCCGCCTTCCATCGACCTTTTCGCGCATTTCGCGATCGACCCGGTCGGCATCGACGTCGTCGGAGGGGAGCGGCTCGTCGCTGTCGCACGAGTGCGGAGGCTTTTGCTCGGCCACAGCCTCGGAGTCGTCGCTCAACCGCGGCGAGACCTCGCCGCTCATTGGCACGCTGCCGCCGGCGCCTACGGTCGATCGCCCGCGCAAGCGGCCGACTGCACCGTCGCTCGCGACTGTTGTCACCGCGCTGAATGAGCAGACCGAGACTGAGCTCGCTCAGCGACGGAGTCTCCGCCGAGAGCTGCACGCTGCGCGGCTTGCCCAGCTCGGCTACGCTGTGCTCTGCGCGCGGCTAGAGCGGGTACATGCCGCTGAAGAGCGCAGCGATGTGCTCGCTGGCTCGTTCCGGCAGGTAAGCGAAGCCGACGTGGCATCGGCGTCGTCGACGTCGCCGGCATCGCCGCCGCTTGACGGCGCGTCGCTCGCAGGCATGTTTGTGTACATGGTCGGCGACGCCGATGTGGTGGCCGGCCTCTCTGCTCGGCGCGGGTCGCCGCAGCATACGCGCGCCCTCGAACTTGTCGACGGCTTTATTGTCATGTCGCGATGGTCGGGCGTGGCGCCACTCGACGCGCTCGAGCTCCTGCTGGTAGCGTTTACCGCTCCGCCGCTTTTTTCGCTCTACACTGGCGAGACTCGCAACGCAAGCATGGCGCCACGGCTGATGCTGGCGCCGATCAGCTCGGGCCGGCACCCGCAAGGGTGGGCTCGCGGCGGTCGCCACCAAGCGGCGGCATTTGCCATCCTCGAGCGGTGGCTCTCGCTCGGCCTGCCCGAGTTTGGCTCACGGCGGACGCCCGAGGCTGAGCTCCTGGCCGCCTTTGTCAACGCACTTGCAACTCACCGCTCATGGACGGTGGATGCCGGGCATTTAGAGCGGGCGATGAACCGCCAGCTCGACGGGTGGATCCAGCGCGAGGTGGCGCCGCCGGTGGTTCTGCCGCCGACGGCGTGCCCGCGGCCAGACGGCTCGCTGTACAACGTCTCGCTCCACTCGGTCCACCCGGTGGAGATGGCGCGGCAGATCACGCTCCTCGAGTCTGCGCTTTACCGCCAGATCGTGCCCGGCGAGCTGCTGCTCGCGGCACGGGCAAGCTGCGAGTCGGTCGCGGCCAACACGCACCACTTTGAAACCTCGGTGCGGCAGTACCAGCACGCGGTGCTCGCCGAAGACGACGCCATGGCTCGTGCAGCCATGATCGAAAACCTCATCCGCATCGCCACCGAGCTCCGCCGCATCCGCAACTACAACGGAGTTATGGAGGTCACCGCAGCGCTCAACTCATCGGCGCTCAAGCGGCTCAAGCTGACCTGGAACTACGTCTCGTCCGAGGCCGAGGCCGATCTTGACCAGCTGCAGGTGCTGATGGCCATGACCAACAACTCGGCGGCGTATCGGAGCGAGCTTGCCGCCGCTGCACGCCGGCCGGACGAGCCAGTCGTCCCGTTTATCGGCCTTGTCCTCTCGGACCTGACCATGGTCTCAGCCAACGCCAAGTCCGCCGAGCGCGCCGTCCGCGAGGCCCGCATCGTCGTGTCGGCGCTCCGGTGGCAAGACGCAAGCTACGCCTTTATCGAAGTCCCGCGCGTCCAGGAGCTCTTTGCTCAGGTTCTGGACGGCGCTGGAGAGGTCAACGACGACACACTGTGGGAGCGGTCGATCGCTCTGGAGCCTCAGGGTGGCAAGTCGCGATCGTGACGGCAAGCCACGTTGCCGGGCAGATCTGCAGCTGCGAGGTGAAGCAAAAAAACAAACTTCACAATAACCGCCACGACAACACACTCCCATACTGATGCACATGCTGTCACTACTTCAGCATGGAGCATGTGTGTGTGGGAGGGGGAGGGGGGGGGGGGAGGAGGAGCGATGGAGCTAATTTTTTTCTCCGACCGAAGAATCTACCACATCCGCCAGCGGAGCAATGGCCAACAAGCGAATTGCTGGAGAGTGACTGACGACGAGCGACAGCGGTAGCATCCCCGGACACACGACTTCTTTGAGGAAGGGAGAGGCTTGGACGACGGACATTGGTCAGCCACAAGACTACGACCAAGAAGAAGACAAGAAAGTAGTGCGTTTGATCAAGGCCACCACTTAGCTCGCGCAAGTCATAGACAGAGACAGGCAGACGGTCTGCTAACCTCTAACCATGCCGCACTTCAAGGGAGCGCCTGTGCCTCTCCACCCGCTGCCCCACCCTCTCCCATCGGTCACGCTTCTTCCTCCGCCGCTCTTTCAAATCTCGTACACAGGCGAAGTGTTTGAGACGTACGAAGAGTATTGCGCTCGCATTGAGTTCTACAGAACTCGTCACTTTACATGCGCTGCTACGGGCAAGCAAGGTCTCAACTTTGTTGAGGCTCTCTACTCGGAGGCCGAGGCAGAGGAGGCTCTGGCGGAGTTCTCGGTTCATACGCTGACGACGGCCGCGGCTGTCATTCATGGCAAGATCGGTCCGCTCAACAAGGTCATCACCGCCGTTCGTGCTGTGCTCAAGACCGGCTTTTGGGTCAGCGACGTCGTCTCGGTCGCCGCAGAGTTTTTGCCGCCCAACGTGGCGGATGCTGCCCGCGACGGGCCTCTCCTTCCCGCTTGGCGCTACCGTCACCGATCATGGCAAGCTGCCCCCGGGCATGCCTATTGTCCGTCTGCCACCGGCCGAAGGCATCGAGCAGCAGCTCGTGCTTGCCCTCAACGAGCTGAACGACGACGCCGGCAAGCCGGTCTCTGTCTCGTGCCTCAGCTCGCAGGTGACACGGCTCGGCCGAGTCACCGGCTGGTGCCCGATGCCCAACGCCGCCATCCGGACGCTGATGATGCTGCACGCGTCGCGCGAGCCGTGGGCCGGCGCGCCGTGGGTCGTGCACCAGGACCTCTGCGAGGACTTTAACCTCCCGCCGGTTGTGCTCGCCGCCGACGCCGCCGACCGCGCCGCCAAGTACAACGCATTTAAGCGCAAGCGGGTCGCTGACCGCGCCACCGAGGTCGCCGACAAGCGGACCAAGTACCTCGAGTCGCTGCCGCCGACCTCGCACGCGCTGGACAAGGAGGCGCCGGCCAAGCCTATTTTTGTCGCAGATGCCCTCCTCCCGCCGCTACCGGCCGACCAGCAGCCCGAACCCGGTACGCTGGTGTACACCGGCGAGGCCGAGCAGGAGCTTGTGGCTGCCTGGGCTTTTCTCGTCCGCTTTGCCGACGAGATTGCGCTCGAGCCGTACTCGTTCCCAGCCCTTCTCCGCGCCATCGACACCGTCGATACCGACGACGCCGACGATGGCACTGCGCCGCTCCTGGTCTACACCTACATTGCGCTCCTCGACCTCATTCTCACGCCGGCCCAGCACCAGGCGCTTGGCGCCCGCATCCGCGAGCACGCGCCGAGTGTGTACGCCGAGCTCTTTGGCGCCGACGCGCTCACCCGCGAGTCAACGTCGGCGGTGACCTCGGTCAACTTTTCGACCTGGCACTACGCGCTCGCCGTCTTTGCCGCCGACTATGTCGCCGAGCTCGACGGCGAGACACCGGCCGTCCTTGCGCCTCTCCTGGTCGGAGGCGAGCTGCCGGGAGCGGCGACCATTGCGGCGGCGCTTGGGCGCGCCGGCCACGCGCTCCTCCTCACCGCTATCACCGACATTATGCTTGACTCACGCTTGCTGCACACGAGCATCGCCGAGGCCGCCAAGGAGCGCGGCTCGCTGCGGGCCAAGGGCAAGAAGGAGCTGGAGGAGCTGAAGGAGAAGGCTGAGGCTGCCATCGAGGAGCTCCATGCCACCTACACCGCTGCTGGCCTCGACAAGCTGCCGAGCCCGTCGCTGGCGGTGCCCGACGATGTCGACGACGACGGCTCGTCTTCGGACGACGACGACGACGAAAATGACGACGACGACGACCGCGGCTCATCGGTTGCGCTCGGCTCCGGCCGTGGCAAGTCTGCGTTCAACAAGCCTGGCGACGAGCCGGTGCCGATGGCCACTGTCCCGCCGACGCCGTCCAAATCGCTGCCGGAAGGCATCCAGGTCAAGATCCGCGAGCTCCGGCGGCAGCTACGGTCGCTGCCGGAGCCAGAGCAGCCAGGCCCGGGCGCGTCGCGATTGGAGACGCTCGATTACAACAAGGCGATGGAGGCGTACCGCCGTGAGGCAGACGCGCTCCACGAGCGTGTGGAGGAGATGAAGTCCGAGGCCGTCAAGCTCAGTGGCGAGTATCAGAGCGCGCTCCTTGCGGCTCGCGATGATTACCTCCGCGCCCGCGAGGAGGCTGAGCTCAAGAACCTCTCGCGGTATCAGTCTGTGGCCGTTCGCGGCCACTGGCTCGGCGAAGACCGCCGCTCACGGAAGTACATGGTGCTCGAGAACGAGGGCTCGCTCCTCTTCCTCGACGTGGCCAAGCGCGAGATCCGCTCGTACTCGTCAATGCGTGAGTTGGGCAAGCTCCTCGACGCGCTCTCGCCGCTCGGCGTGGTCGAGCGCAAGCTCCGCGCCCGGCTCGAGCGCTTCCGCCGCGGCATCCAGCTCGTTCTCGAGGAGACCGAGTCGGCCGCCGCCGAGTCGGCCGCCGCCGCCGCCGAAAAGGTCCATCTTCAGGAGCAGATCGACGCCGGCCTCGTCCGCCGCTCCGCCCGGCGCACCGACGACGAGCTCGATGACGCTGCTGACCCGGTTGCCGCAGAGCTGGCCAACTACCGCAACGCGGGCTGGGAAGCCGAGGAGGCCCGACGCGAGGCTCGCCGCAACAAGCGCGCGCTTCGCGGCGGCTCGTCGTCGCGGCGCTCATCTCGCTCAGAAACCCGCGAGTCGTCGCCGGGCGCAGGCCTCGAGTCGCGCGCCGCCTCGCGCCGCGCCGCCCGCGCCATCAACGCCGGTATCGGGCGCCCCAAGAAGCTCTCTCGCGCCGAGCGCGCCAAGCGCCGCTCCCACAAGGACATGGTCGGCTCGGACGACGACGACGACGACGATGCCCTCTCCGACGACGACGACGGCGATTGGTCCGACGCCGATGACGACGATGACGACGACGACGAGTCGTCGGGCAACCACGATGAGACTTGCCACATTTGCAACAAGCGTGGCTCGCTCATCGTCTGCGAAGGCTGCCCCAAGGTCTACCACTCGGCCTGCCTCGGCATCACCGTCGGCGACTCGGACGACGAGTGGTTCTGCCCGGCGTGCGTTGTCCAGCGAAGCGAAGGCGGACGGCGGGCACGGCGGGCGCGTCGCCGCTAAGCCGCGCACCCAATAGCCAATGCCTCGCGGCAGAGTTAAAACAAGAACCGGCATTCCCCTGTGGCCGTCGCCATCAGCCCTGTCACCGTCGTCCAGCCAGCAGCCAGCCGCCGGCGCGGGCGGCCAAGCCACTCGACGCCGTTGTGCTCGGCCATGACGACACCGCCGCCACGACGGACACGGACAGCGCTCATTGCCTGCGGACTCTCGTACAATGAAGACGGGCGTCTGGTCACGGTTCTGTCCAAGCTGCGAGCCTCCGGTGCTTACGCGCTCTGTCTCTTTGCTATGGCGCCTTGCGCCGCACCGGCGGCCTCAGCCGCGGCCGATGACCCCGACGACACGCAGCCACTCGCTGATGCCCGCAATTCGGTGACGGCTGGCCATCTCGTGGAAAGCGGGCGGCGTAGAGAGTGCGAGTGGCACGCCTCGCTCGCCAAGCTGCCGCTGCCGACGATGATCAAGGAGAATATGATCGCTGGCGACGATGGAAGTCTTGTCGACGTGTTGCCGCTCTGCCTCTGTGCGCAGGACGCGCTGGTGGTGGATGCCGGTGCCGATGACGGATCGGGGGCGGTGCAAGTGTCTGGAGGCGAGGTGCGGCGGGCACTGGACGCTGCGAGGATCACAGAAGTGCATGTGGCCGGGATGGCAACAGAGGGCGCGGTGGCGGCAACAGCAAGGGCGGCGCTGGAAGAAGGCTGGTCGGTGGCGGTGTTGGAGGATGTAGCGGTGTCTGATGCGCCCGAGGTGGCGGCAGCGGCCCTGGTGGCTCTGGAAGGCGAGGGTGTGCGGCTGCTGCTATCGAGCGATGTCTCTTTGTAGTGGTGGACGTCGGGCGGGGAGGCGTAAACGAGCGATGCATCATGGACCAAGGGCTGGGCTGGGGAATGCGTTTGTGGGCTACGGGCTTCAGATGGACGAGTCCGACTCGGACGACGAGTCGTCGTCCGAGGCGGCGAAGAGCGGGCGAGGGGGGGCGGTGGCGGGAAAGGCCGCGAGCGGATGCGGGGTGAGCGCCGAGTGCCGCGGCGAGAGGAGGCGTTGGTGGAAGAGGGCCGGGTAGGCGAGCGGCGAGGCGGCCGAGGGCGAGCCCATAGGCAGCGGCGGCTTGGACGCGCCGAGCGACATCCAGGCCGATGAGACTGGCTGGGCGTGTGCGACAGCGAGTGGGTAGGCCAGATGCGGGCGGCGGCGCGAGGCTTGCGGCGAGTGCGGCGGTGAGCCAAAGGCGCCGGGCGAGGGCGGGGCTTGCTGCGCTTGTTGGGCCTGTGGTGGCCGCGGCGAGGCAAGCGGCGCGTAAGGAAAGGTAAAGACGGCCTGCGGCGAGGGTGGAACGAGCATGGTCTGCGGCGGGAAGGGCGTGGGGCGGGCATGCCGTGGCGAAGCCAGGCGATGGGCAAGCATCGAAGCGTACCTGACCGGAGAGGCACGCCCGTCGAATGTGGGTGCAGGCCCACCAGTGCGGTCGGGACTTGCGGGTAGCGGCGGCTTGTGGAAGCCATGATCCGAGTACTCTACATCCATGGAAGTATCCAGCCTCAGTGGCGTTCCACCGAGCCGCATCGCCATCCTCTGCGGCTGGCTCATTCTTCCGGGCAGCAGATGCGCCGCCAGCGGCCGCCCAATCTCCTCATCGTCCTTGTGCACCTCGAGCCACTGCCTCGCCGCCTCGAGCGAGCTGTTGGTGAGGAGCAGGGCCTTTTCCGCCTGCACAGGAGAGATAAGGCGGGAATGTTAGTAGCGAAGATGATATCCACGTGTTGTCCATGTGGAGGGGGGAGAGGGGGAGAGGGGGAGGGGGAGGCGTACCGCCACCTGGTCGACGCCGTCGTTGACGAGGGTGATGAGGGCACAGGCAAAGGTTCGGGAGACCGGAGAGATGCCTGGGTGGATGACTTCGACAGTGTCGATATCTGTAGGAGGGGTGGTCATGGTGCGAGTGGAAGTGGGCAGGGGGGCGGTGGGGGGGGGTGGGAGGGGGCGGGGGGTGGGGCGGGGGAGGGAGAGGTGGTGGCGGTGGCGGGCGTGGCCGGGCCACGGCGGGGGGGGGGGGGGGGGATGGTGGGGATGGCGGAGAGGGGATGATGACATTGATTGTGTCTTTGACTGTGGTGGGGGTAGTAGTAGTAGTGGTGGTACAAGATCTGAAACTACATGCCTACATGCGCTGCAGCTCCTGGAGGCGGTTGATGAGGCCCTCGAGGACATCGTCTGAGCAAGCACGCTCTGTGAGCGAGGGGATGAGCGAGCGAGCTTCTGCCACAGAGCGAGGCATAAGATTGGCCATGGCCGCCAGCTGAACAGGCTCGAGGCCGGCCTGCTCGAGCATGGTCCGGGTGTCCATGATCGACTGCATCTCGGTGATGTGGTTGAACCGCTGCGCATACTCGAGCGTCTTGAGGAACGTGCTGTCCGCGCCCACCCACCACCGTAGCCCCACAGCAACAGAGCCAAGTAGAAGAGCATCATGTGAGTCCACGCGATGCCCGGTCACGACACGTCCGCCATGGCCGTACCCACTGAGGAGGGGCAGCATACACCACCATGGGCAACTTCAACACACTATTTCCTTCCCCATGACCATGACCATGACCATGACCATGACCATGACCATGACCATGACCATGGCCATGACCATGACCATACCCATGAATATACCCATGTCCATGCCCACCACCCCACAACTGCTCCCCTCCTCTCCTAGGGGGATCACCCCCCTCCCTCCCTCCCCCCCCCCCCCCTCCCCCCCCCCACACACACAGCCACAACCCCTCCACCCCCCACCCCATACCCCCATCCACCCACCCACGGTACGTACTCCTTCAGACCCTCGCTGGTGGTCCCTGCGCGAAGAGCCTCCTCATGGGCATCGGCCTGCTGCTTCAGAACAGTGGCCACTTCGGCAAGCATGAGGCAGTCGGCCTCGGCAAAGTCGGCGCCAAAGGCACGCATAGCCGCACTGCTGCCCTCTCCGCTCGCCATGGTGGGTAGAGCGGGTGGGTTGGTGGGAGGAGGGGGGCGGGGGGGAGGGGGGGAGTTGGGTGGCGTGCTGCCGCAGCCGTGCGTTGGCTAGGCAGAGCGGGGGCGGGTGTGCTGGACTGCGACTCGCCCGGCGCTGGCCAGTTCGATGCCCAACACTCTCGCTCTCTCACCCATTCTGTGCCCACATGTCAATACGCCAGCCTCGGCAACAGGATATTCAGATGTGGGCTGTTCTTTTGATGATGGCTACGAGGAGGGGGGGGGGGACATATCACGGACGGATCGTCACCGCGTTGATGACGAGAAGAACGAATACGACGAGGCAGAGTCGTCTTGGGGAGAGCCGGACGACGATGTCCATGATGACGATGATGATGAGGACGATGATGACGACTCGTCGTCGGATGTGCTCGACATTGACACAGAGAGCAGGGTGGCCCAGGTCTGCGAGGGACCGACCAGCTGCTCGTACGAGTCGGAGAGACTCCCGTCCGCCATCGACTCGGACCCGCTCGACGAGCTGGACGACGACGGGACAGAGTTCGCGGCTCGCAGCGCGCCAAGCGTGAGCACGAGCAGATCGCGCTGGAACCTGTTCTTTGCCACAAGCGGCAGGTGGGTGCTCGCATCGACAGCCAGCTCCATGTCGACGTCACCGACATAGGCGACAGCCATGTGGCTGTTGAGCTCGGCCCGGGCGAGGCGAGCGGCGCAGAGCTCACGGCGAGTGGTCGGCCGGTCGCGCGTGGTGTGCGGAACAGCAAGTACGTCCATTTTGGCGCGATCAAGCCGAAGGACAACCTCGGCGTGAACGGGCGAGTAGAGCCGAAACTCGGCGTGCCCCCGCGCGACGAGCTTGTCCACCGTCCTGCCCATGACCGGCTCGACGGTGACGCGCCCGAGCGACCGCAACACCAGCGGTGCAGCAGCCTGGCTGCCGTCGCTCTCCCACCGCGGCGTGACTACAGCCTCGAGATAGCTCCCGACGTCCAGCGCTGTTGGTGCGTACTGCGGCCCGATCGCGCCCTGAATGACCACGCTCTTGCTAGCTCCTGTCGTACGGCGAGCTGCACGCCGCCATACGATGTCCATCTGCCACCGCACATCCCCACCCAGCGGGACAACCTCGACCTCGGACGCAGTGTCAAGCACGCCCACAATGGCTCCGCCGTCATATCCCACGTCTGCTACCGTTCTTGACCGGCGCTGTGACCGTGGCCGCGACCGGCGCCGTGACCGCGACCGTGGCCGCGACTGTGACCGCGAGCCCACAGCTGTCGACGAGCGAGACAGCGATCGCTCGCCACGGCTCGACCCCTCGCCACGACTCGCCTCCCTGCCACGACTCGTCCCCCGATGGCTGTCCGTGCACTGGCTGGGCCCGGCACCCAGGCTCCAGCCGTCCGTCCACGACGCGTCCCAGACCGAGGCCTCGCCCCAACGCCTCCCGCCCAGACCAGTGGCACTCTCAGCCAGAGCCACAGTCTCGTGAGCGCCAGGCGGTGGTAAGGAACGTCCCCGCTCAGCCCGCTCAGCCCTGTCGGCCTCATCTGCCCGCTCCAGCCTCCTGCCTCGGCTCCTGCTCCTGCTCCTGCTCCTGCTCATACTCCTGCGTACGCTCGTGGTCGAGCGCCTCCTCCCCCCCAAGCCGGACTCCCTACCACCCACAGGCATGCCCAAACTCGTCGCCCAAACCGCAGGCTGTCTCTGCCATGGCTGCTGGCGGCTCTGTGGCGATCGGTGCAGCGGAGGTCGAACAAGCGCCCCGGACGACGTCGCCCACATGCCGCCGTTGGCGCAGTTGAGTGGTGGCGCCTGAGCGGCAACAGGCAGGAGCGTACAAGGCATACATGTGGCCAAAAGGTGGTATCATTTACCTCAGTCGATCTCCTCGATGGTCGGCTCGCCAGATCCGCCCGGAGCAGCGGCACCGCCCGTCGGCATGCCGCCGGGCATGCCACCAGGCATGCCGCCCGGCATGCCGCCCGGAGCACCGCCGGCGGCACCAGCAGCCTGGGCAGCCTTCTGGATGATCGGGTTGGCGACGCCCTCGAGATCCTTCTGCTGATGCTCGAACTCCTCCTTCTCGGCCTCCTGGTTCGAGTCGAGCCACGAGATGACCTCGTCGATCTTGGCGTTGAGCGTGGTCTTGTCGGCCTCGGGGATGGAGAGCTTGTCGTCGCGGAGGGTGGAGCGGAGCGAGTACGCGTAGTTCTCGAGACCGTTGCGCGCCTCGACCTTCTGGCGGACCTTCTCGTCGTCGGCCGCGTACTTTTCGGCCTCGGAGACCATGCGCTCGATCTCCTCCTTGGAGAGGCGGCCAGACTCGTTCTTGATCTGGATCTTGTTGATGTTGCCGGTCGACTTCTCCTGGGCCGACACGTTGAGGATGCCGTTGGCGTCAATGTCAAAGACAACCTCGATCTGCGGCTGGCCGCGCGGCATCGGCGGGATGCCGGTCAGCTCGAACTTGCCGAGCAGGTTGTTGTCCTTGGTCTGCGCCCGCTCGCCCTCAAACACCTGGATGAGGACACCAGGCTGGTTGTCCGAGTACGTCGAGAACGTCTGGGTCTTCTTGGTCGGGATCGTCGTGTTGCGCGGGATGAGCTTGGTCATCACGCCACCGGCGGTCTCCAGGCCAAGCGAGAGCGGCGTGACGTCGAGGAGGAGCAGGTCGTTGAGCTTGCCGGTATCGTCGTGGTCGCCCGAGAGAATGGCGGCCTGGACGGCGGCACCGTAGGCAACGGCCTCATCCGGGTTGATCGACTTGCACGGCTCCTTGCCCGAGAAGTAGTCCGAGAGCAGCTTCTGGACCCGCGGGATGCGGGTCGAGCCACCCACGAGCACAATCTCGTGGATCTCAGACTTGGACAGGCCCGAGTCCGAGATGGCGCGCTCCACAGGCTCGAGGCACTTGCGGAAGAGGTCCTGGTTGAGCTCCTCAAACCGAGCCCGGGTGATCGAGGTGTAAAAGTCGATGCCCTCAAAGAGCGAGTCAATCTCGATCGACGCGTTGGTCGACGACGAGAGCGTGCGCTTCGCGCGCTCGCACGCCGTGCGGAGCCGGCGCATCGCGCGGACGTTGCCCGAGATGTCCTTCTTGTGCTTGCGCTTGAACTCACGCACAAAGTGGTCGACAAGGCGGTTGTCAAAGTCCTCGCCGCCAAGGTGGGTGTCACCGGCAGTCGACTTGACCTCAAAGATGCCGTCCTCGATGGTGAGGACGGAAACGTCAAAGGTACCGCCACCCAGATCAAAGATGAGCACGTTCTTCTCGCCGCCCTTCTGGTCGAGGCCGTACGCGATCGCGGCCGCCGTCGGCTCGTTAATGATGCGCAGGACGTTGAGGCCGGCAATGGTGCCGGCGTCCTTGGTCGCCTGACGCTGCGAGTCGTTAAAGTACGCAGGCACCGTGATGACCGCGTTGCCCACGTCCGTCCCGAGGTACGCCTCCGCCACCTGCTTCATCTTGGTCAGCACCATCGACGAGATCTCCTCCGGCGAGAACGTCTTGCTCTCGCCCTGGTACTCGACCTGGATCATCGGCTTGCCCGCCTTATCCACAACCGCAAACGGCCAGTGCGCCTTGTCAGACTGCACCGCCGGGTCCGAGTACTCGCGCCCAATGAGCCGCTTGGCGTCGAACACCGTGTTGCGCGGGTTCATCGCCGTCTGCAGCTTGGCAGCGTCGCCGATCAGCCGCTCAGAGTCGGTAAACGCCACATACGACGGCGTCGTCCGGTTACCCTGGTCGTTGGCGATAATCTCCACACGATCGTTGCGCCACACGCCGACGCACGAGTACGTCGTTCCGAGGTCAATGCCCACAGAAGCTCCGTTGTTCTTAGCAGCCATGGTTTCTTGTGTTGTTGTTGTTTGTTACTCTCTTGCTTTCAGTAGCTCCGATGAGTTGGTTGTTGCTTGCTGTCTGGCTCGCCCTGCACCCCCTCGAAATTCCGTCGCATTTTATGCCCGCCGACGTGAACCTTCTTGAAAATCCGGAGTGAAGCACCGGGTCGCGGCTACCTTCTGCGCCCTGCCCTGCTGGTATTCAGCCACCCATGCCTTTCCAAACACCATGTTATACTCGCCAGTACTTGCTCTACACATCCCTCTGCTCCATTATTCTTTGCTAGGTCACTATCTCCCGTAAAGCCCCAGTTTCCAGCTCCCCAGCAAGATGCGAGCCTGCATCACGAAATTGGGCCATGTTTCATGAAGCCTTCCGCCTCCCCTCCCCCCTCCATCTCCCCACACCTCCATCTACCTGCTTCATCCTCATCTCCCCTCCCACCACTTTTTACATCAGCTGTGTGCAACAGTCTTGCCCACCCCACATCACCCTCAGCCCCTCCCCTCTCCTTCCACCAGTGTATTCCACCCACCCTCGCCTGGCCGCGGCGATGCCACACACGACGCGCAGAGCCGGTCCCAACCTCATCTCGACGCGAAACACGTCCCTCCAAATATTTTATCAATTTCTCAACCAACACCCCCCACTCCCTCCGCCTCCACCGTGACCCTCCTTGCCCCGCTGCTGTCGGCACTCTCTCCCCGTCAACGGAGTCGCCTCCTCGCTGCGCACCCCACACTCCACCCTTGGCAACGCCATGCCGAGACGTGGAGCACTACGAGAGCGGGAACTGGCACATGTCCAGCTCCGCGGCCCGGGAGGGCGTGCCACCGAGCACGCGCTCTGCCTCTGGATCACGTCCGTTGTGACGTCTCGGCACCCGCGAGTCACTTCGCTGGGCCAGCTCGCCGACTCAATGGCACTGGCCCAGACCACGGCTCAACTCATCCCATCGTACAAGGTCTTCTACGTCCATGGGAATGGGAGGGAGTTTCCACTCTCCGTCCCTCCCGTGGGTGCCCGGGCCGCTCGTCGCAACCTTCGCCTCCTGGCTGATCTCTGGGACGAGTACACCGGCTCGTTCACAGCCACAGCTCCCTTTCCGCCGCCCTCGCATCCGCTCGCCCACTCGGTCCCTACCTCGGCTACGAACTCGATCACCGACTACTCGTCATCATCGCCGTCGTCATCTGCCTCCAGTGACGACAACAGCGACATCAAGCCGCAGACCCGTCGCAAGCCAAAGCCCAGCTCCAAGCCCAGCTCCAAGCCCGGTTCCAAGTCCAAGTCCAAGTCTAGGTCCAGCGCCAAGCACACCACCAAATCCAAGCGCGCCAACAAAGCATCAGGCTCCTCACTGAGAGGATCCTCGAAGCAGCCTGTCAAGCCGGACAAGCCAGACAAGTCGGATGAGTCCAAGCAGCGGAAGCGGAGCCGCAAGGGCAAGCACCGCCCCCGTCGCTCGCAGCGCATCCTGCGCCTCCTGCCCCTTCCGACCTTGCCGCCGCTCGACGTCGAGCCACACGCAGTTGCCGCCGGTGAGCCACGCGCCGTTGCCGCTGCCGTATTTGGCATAGCCATGCGCCACTACGCCACGTCGCTCCCGATCCCGCTGGCGCCGAACCTCGCCCACGACGCCGCGCTGGCTGACGCCTTTATGGTCGGCGTCGCCGCGTTTATCTCGGACCTGATATCCGACGCACTACCTGTGCTCGCTGATGCTGGCATTCCACCGCCTACCTTGCCACTGGTTGACACCGGGCGTGCGGTCGCTGACGGCGGTGCGCTGCTAGCGCTCATTGTTGCCGCCCCCGGCTCGGCAGCCTCGCTCGATCTTGCCGCTGTCGCCACCGCCGAGCCGCACCGCCGGGTTGGCATGGCGCTCAAGACTGCCTTTGACACCTGGTCCGTCCCTGCCCTCCTCCGTTCTGCCGACTGGCTCGCTGCCTCGGCCCCGCTCGTCAACGCTCTCTACCTCTGCATGGTTGCCGAGTTGGCGTTTGGCGCCCCACCACACCTGCATCCTGCTGACGTTGTCGCCTTTGCCGCCCTTCGGACCGAGGTCGATGCCCTCCGTGCTGCTGCCTCTGACCCGACTTTGGCCGACGGCTCGGAGCCAGGCTCCGAGCCCGAGCCGGAGCCGGGGCCGCCGGAGCGCATCAGCCCTGTCGTCCGCACCCTCGATGACCTCGCATCGCAGCTCCGATCCAAGGCTCTCAGCGGCCTCGGCGCCCGTGCTCCGCCCTCGGTCCGGAGGCTCTTGGCCTTGGAGTCGCAAGTTACCACCGCCAAGCTCCGCATGATGCTCGCTGTTGCCGAGGGTGTTGCCGGCAAAGCCGTCGTTCGCGATGCTCTCGCGGCTGCCGCTGAATCCGCCGCTCTTACTGATGACTCTAAGCCGCGAGGCGGCGGGGGCAAAACCTCGACCCAAAAAGCCGCCCGCTCCCGATCGGGTGGGCCTGCGACTCCAGCCGCACCACCCGAGATCAGCGATACCGCCGCGGCCCGATTTCGTGCCGCAAGTCTTGTGTCATCGTTTGCCGCTGTCGAGCCGCTTGCGCTGCAAACTGTTCAGCTCAGCCGTGCTGCCCACCACCTCGCCACCCGGGTGGCCGATGCCGAGACGCGGACGGCTCGGCTGACGGGCGTCCTCGCGACGCGCGCTCACGCCACGGCGCCGCTCGAGCAGCAGCTCTCGCGCGTTCTTGGTCGCCACACCTGCTTTGTCACTGCCGCGCCCTCACCCGGCACCCGCTCGCCCAAGGAGACTGCGCAAGCCGCGCAGGGCCGCGTCATGGCGCGGTCGGCATCGGGCTCACTCACTGTTGTCGCCCTCGAGGTCATTGGCGCCGCTCCGCTCCTTGCCGCCTTTGGCGATGTCATGCACGAGGCGCTTGCCACGCTCGAGGTCCACATCGACCGCCTCCGCCGCCTCTTGCACGGCCAGCTCGAGGCTGCATCCGGCCCGTACTACACTCTCTCCTTCTCACACCCCGGCGCTGCTGTCGTCTTTGCCCTCCGACTTCATACCGCCCTCACGACCGCTACGTGGCCGCCCCCGATTGCTGACGTGGCCAATCCGTTCACGGCACCAGCTGGCCCAAGCGATGCCCGTGGCCAGCTTTGGGTAGCTGCCGGCATTGCTGACGGCTCTGTTACGCTCGCCCACACACAGGCGACAGGCGTTGCTTCCATCGGCGGCGAGACCGTAGCCGCTGCTGTTGCGCTCCGCGATGCCGCGCCCGGTGGCGCCACCTTTGTCACCGAAGCGCTCTCACTCCAACTGGCAACGCTTGCGCACACCGCTGCACGCGAGACGTCCTCGCCAGCCCAAGCGCCGTCGCGCCCACCGGCGCAGTCGAAGTCCGGTGCTCGAGGCAAGCCAGGCCGCCGCAGTGATCGTGGATCACCGTCGCTCAAAGGCGGCTCGCGCTCGCGCGCGTCGCTTGCGCCCAAGCCTTCCAAGAGCCAGGTCGGTTTTACCGGTCCCGAGCGCGAGGAGCTCGCCGCCGCCGAGCTCGCGGTCGACCTCGCCGCGGCGAGCGTGCCTGGCGTCGGTCCGGTTTTTTCTCTCGCCGCTGCCAAGGCGCGTGTCCACGACGACGCACGAACCAGCGCCATCGCCGCCTCGCCCCACCTCTGGCGCGAGGCATGGACACTACTCCGCGCCCGCCACACACCACGCGACTCGGATGTCAACCTAACCGAGACCCTCAAGGCTGCGACTGTCGCCGTCGAGTCCGACCTCGCCGCCGCCCGCGCCCGCCTTGCCGACCTCCGCACCCGCATCGCCGATCTCGAGACTAGCCTCGGCGACTGGCTGGACGTCACCGAGCCTGACCCGCCCGTTGACTCTGATCTCCTCTCCGGCGAGCCCGACCCCTCGCTTGTCCGGGCCCAGCTCTGGGTCGGTCGCACTCGTGTCGCACTTTCACGGCTTCGCGGCGAGCTCGACGACTTCCAGGCGCTCCCGCCGCACACGCTCTCTGCCCTGCAGCGCACCCCGCCTGCGGTCCCAGACCCGCCGCCGCCGCGCCGCGCTCCGCCAGTGCCCGTAGCCGCCAGCCCTGATCCTGCCCCTCGCAGGCAACCTGCCACCACGTTCACCGCCTCCACCCTACCGCCGGCCCCCACCGCTCCCACTCGCCCTCACCCTCGCCGCTCTCCTCCGCCCCATCACCGCCCGCCATCGCCGCCGGTCTCGAACGATCTGTGGGCAACACTCCCGCCCGCGCCGGCGTCGCGAGCCCGCCTCGAAGAGATGCGCCGCCGCAAGGGCGCACGCGTCCGCCTCTCCCCGATCAAACCTGTTGACTAGCCGATGCTGCACCCGCGCGTGTGTGTCTCGCGTACAATGACCTTCACTCTCTTCAAACACATTACTCGATCGAGACAACGGTGGTCGTCCCACCGCGTGCATTGGCGCGGGTCGACGCGGGCGGCGCCGGGGCGACGCGGTTGCGGCGGCCGCCTGCTACGCGGCGAGCATGGACAGCAGCGTCAAAACCGGTCTCGCCCTCGTCCGACATCTCCATTGAGGTCGAGTCGTCGAGGCGGCGACTGGACCCCCTGCGGCGCACGCCGCGATTGACGCTCCCGGTCGAGGAGACAGCCGGAAGCGGAGCGCGGGGCGCCGAGCCCGAGTCGCCCGAACCGCGGCGGTCCGAGACGGCGCGGGCAAGCTTGCGCGAGGAGCGGTTGGTCCTGGCAGCGACTGTCGCCTGCTGGCCCGAGACAAAGGCTGAGAACGGGACGGCGGCGTCACCGGTCGACGCCACGTAACCCCGCTGCGCCATAATCTGAGCAATGAGTCCCATGAGCACCTCGTACGTGTAGTCAAGGTCATCGAGCGACATCAGCCCGATGGTCGAGGCCTGTGCAGTCAGTTGCTCGACCGCCCGGAAAAACATCGAGAGCGGCATGGTGGTTGCCGTCGCCGACCGCGGGACAACCAGCTGTGAGGCGTGGGCGGCGGCGGCGCGGACGAGAGGCAGCCCGGGCCCAGGCGACGGCATGGCCAGGTTGGGTGCGGGTGCGTCCATCGCGCCCGCTACCGCTGCCGTGACTGGCTGTCCCGGGCCAGGCGGCGAACCAAAGGCTTCAGCCCCGGGCGCCATGACCTCGCGGACTTCCTTGTTCTGGTCCTCGGTCCCGAGGTCGTTGGCCATGCGGTAGATCTCCATGGCGTACTCGGGAAAGTCAGAGAGCGCCTCGTCGACATCCTCCTTGAGGAGAACAAAGACGTCGACAAAGGTCTTGGCAATAATCGACGCGTTACGCTTGGCCTTCATCAGCAGCGCGACTTCGCCAAAGAATGAGCCCTCGCCGAGCGTGTTGACCTTACCCACGCCTGCCAGCTCGACGGTGACGATGCCACGGGTGATAAAGTACATCGAGGCGCCAAAGTCGCCTTCGCGAATGATGTAGTCGTTGGGCGTGTAGACCTCGGGCTTGAGCTTGCGGGTGAGCTCCTGCAAGAACGACTCGTCGCCGCACTTTTCAAACAGCGAGACTTTGCGCAAAATGTCCTTGTTGAGGTCCGACGACACGTCGGCCCGCAGATGGAGCGGCAGGTCAGAGAGAATGATGGCGTCGTTGAGGCCGGCCTGCCGCTGCCAGATGTACTGGTAGTAGTTACGGATCCGCTGCTGGAGCACCGGATTGATGCCCTTGTACCGCATCCACAGGTTGACAATGTCGAGCTTCTTGCGGAACTTGGCTCCGGTGGCGTTGCGGTTCGAAATAAGGTCTCCGACGTTACCGATAACGGAAGCAAAGACAAAGATGCCGATGAAGAGCATGCCGAACGAGAACGCGAGCTCTAGATTGGTGTCGGGCGAGTTGTGGTCGGGGCCCATGCCCGTCAGCAGCGTGATGCACCAGAACAGCGCCCGCGGATACGCCTCGTGCGCCGGCTTGGTCACCAGCGTCTGCATGCCCTGCGGCCACCCGGTGCCGACCGGCTGCGGCCACCCGCCCTCACCGAATCGCTTGTTCTCCTGCTTGACCGTCGCAAAAAACGCGCAAGCCGTCCAGTGCGCAAGCATCATGATGCCGCAGAAGAGCTTGGTCAGCCGAAACACCACAGGTCGCGACGTCGACTGCTCCCACGATCGGAAGATGTTCGGCACGTGGTAGAGCCTCAGCAACCGGTTGAGCCGCATGAACGCGTGCGGCTGGCAGTCGTACAGCGCAAAGTCAAATGGCAGCGACGCCACAAGATCCAGCAGGAACGAGCCGTGGAGGTAGTTGCGAACAACAAGCCGGCGGGTGGTGACCACCACACCCAGCGCGTAGTAGCCAACGTAGAACCGCCAGAAAATGTCCACCAGCAGCACCACGTCGCCGAGATAATCAATGGTCCACCATACTTCAGGCAGACACATGCCCGGAAACGTAGTTCGCATCGGTACAAAGACCGAGTTGTACGAGATGACCAGCAGGAGGAGGACCGACCAATACGCCCGCGTTTTCGACTTTGGCGAGAGCAGCGCGTACTCGACCGCCGACTTGCTCCAGAAGCACATCCTCTTCTCCGCCCCATCGTTCTCGTTCCTCTGCCATGACTCCTTGAGCACCTTGAACTCTCTACACATCCGCTCGCCCGTCCATACACAGCCATACACCCGTCAGTCACCGCCTTTCTCCCGCCTTCCACGTCAGCCATGGCGCTGACGGTCCGAACCCGGAACCGTCGCCGAACAAGCCCCGCATGGCCACCCATACCACCGCACACACAGCCACAGCCATCACACACACCATCACAACACACACAACCTCATCACACACGCTTCATACAACAACATACTCGATTTTGAACGCTTGCTTGGGCATGCTTGCCTCGCCTCGCTTAAAAAACGGCCCGCACCGGCTCGCTACGCTTCCTTGCCTCTCGCGCGCACGAGAGAGAGAGAGTGAGAGACAATGACGCTTCCGAGTCTGTGGCAGCCACCTCGGCCCCA